TGGCCGGACGACAGGCGGCCTTCTACTTCGACATGGCGCGAGAGCGGCACCAGGCTCATGGAGATATCTCGGGCATGATGCGATTGGCGTGGCTTAGTGTCCCGGCAACATGAGAAGCCGCGATCCTGCGACAGCACGCTTTTGAGCAAGCAGATGGCAGCAGAAGCAGGAAGCAGTCGTAGTGGTAGTGCTCGTGACGTAGGTTAGGTACGTTGCAAGCTAGGTTGGTGGATGCGTGGGTGGGGTGGGGGGGGGGGGGGGNNATGGGCCGGGTGGGTGGTTGGTTGGTTGGTAAGTTGGTTTATTATTTATCTCCAGCAGCAGGTGTAGACAAAGTTCTGAGCTGCTAGAGACCAAAACAGGACCATACATGACCCCCCTGTCTGTCATTTGGACCGACCCTTAACAACAACCACCCACATTGCCTTTGCCTTGCACCACACTTCAATCACAAGGGCAGATGCTGTGTAAATCATGGTCCGCATTCCCCAGCAGGTCAACAGGCACCCTTTAGTGTCGCCGGAAGCATGGCCAATTGCTTATAGTTAACATACATGAGTTACGGGCTGGTTTTTTCGGTACCACCAACGCCGCCACCACCTCCTCCAGCCGCAGCGGCAACGACAGCGGCAACACCAACCACAGCAACGACNNCAACAACAACATCATCAACAACATCAACCGCAACAGCAACAACAACGACAACAAGCAACCAACAACGAATTATTTGGAACATCCCCACCCTACAGACAACACCACTGACTGGCGTTACGGTCGTGGGGTCCCCGTACACGTAACAACACACGAGTGTTCGATTCAGGTCAGTCGACGATCCATGGGGTCACACCACTGACTGGCGTTGCGGTCGTTGGGTCCCCGTACACGGAACAACACACGAGTGTTCGATTCAGGTCATTCGACGACCCATGCATGGGGTCACACCACTGGCTGGCGTTGCGGACGTGGTGCCCCCGTACACATACCAAAACACGTGTTCGGGGTTGGGCACTCCAGGGAGTCTCTCGGTAGTCTCTGGGGTTGGGCACTCCAAACAGTTTCACGGTAGTCTTTGGGGTTGGGTAGTTTGTGGGGTTGGGCACTCTAGGGAGCTGACTTTAAAATACAACCCCACACCGAGGGTGGGGAACAGGCTGCTGTTTTGTTTGTGCCAGCAAGGGTGGAAACGTGGCGTAGTGTGGGCGGTTGTTGTGGGGGGGGGGGGGGTGGTCGATCAAAAACAACAGACGGGGCTCCAGTTTTTCGGTAGAAACAAAGTCCTGATTTCAATGGGGCCTTTGTCTCTACCTGCTGCTAGACACAAAAACTGCTGTTGTTTTGAGTTTTGACCCCCTCCCCCCTCTACGACAACCACCCAGCCTACGCCGCATTTCTATCATGGCGCAGGTGCTGTATAAAAGCGGCAATAGCCTAGTTCGAGCCACACGCGTTTCGTTCTCTGCACCTGCTCACTGCAGGTGTCGTGACCACGGTCCGAGGCTACATTTGGAATGCAGAGCAGTGGGTGAATCCTTGAACGACACGGAGCTCCGAGAGGACTGATTGGCAACAACGCTGGGAGCTGCGCTCGCGAGTCCTGGACGTCTACCCCCGGCAGAACATGCTGTCGTGGTCTGTGCGCACTGGAGATCCTCAACTAAGAGGTCCCATGATGAGAGGCAGGTGGACTCTGGTAGACCCTCATGGATGAAGCCCGGCTTCGACGCGAGACAGCTAGAAAAGGATCAGAGCTGGTGCAAGCTAGGCCTTGCCAGATGGTGTCAAAGAGAAAGCTCGGCAGACATCACGGGGCCGCTATTGGGCAAGTTTCGAGACTGTTCGCTGCAAAGGTTTGCGTCCTCAATTGCACAAGAATACTGTTGACCATCAACCCACTGGACCTTTATAAGCCTGAATATTACAAGCCGTCCCCCTCAGGCAAAACATGTCCGGTGGAAATGTAGTCATAGCTGGAAGCGGCGTTTCGGGATTTCTCCATAAACCTCATCCAGTCAATCGGGCATGAATCACGCGTTGCATGGCGAGCTGCAGTACGCTGCTGCTATCGTTTCCATGGTTTGCTCATGCTTTTGATCTTTCGACCCAGTGCCGAGATCTATGAGAAAAATCACAGAGACGGCAGGTGGGTTCTGACGGCCGCCACGAGGAGAATGGCCGAGGAGCCGCTTCGTTGATGAAAAAGCACGGTCGCAGGCTTGATTTTCGACCCTGAACACGGAGTCTTCGTTCATGAAAGACTTCTTGATCGTACAGCAGGACTGGGATCCCTTCGCAGACCCTGCGGATGAGGACCACCAGGAGCCCGCACAAGCTGCGGAGTGCAAGGCCGAACAGATTTCACATACTGTCGCGAGAAAAAGTGCTTTTTGCAAGGCCTTGGTCACACCTGTCCTCACAACGAGGCACCCGAGCAATTCTGCTGCAGTTCCGATGGGGTGGAGTTCAGAGCATGGCAGGGATGAAATGCGAGATCAAGAGACCATTTTGCGGCTAAAGGCGGGCAAGACGGGTGCAGCGAATCTTCTCTTCGTCTCGATGCTTGCGTAAGGCGGCCCTGGACGACACCTCGACCAGGCATCTCCTTGTGGCTAGGCTCAGACGAAACCCACTTCGCTTTTTGCCTTTCGCTGCGAGGTCTCCTGACAGCTCAACACCTTGCCTGGAGCTCTGTTTCACTACTCCCAGAAAGACGTCTCCATTGCGGCCTCGCAGGTGCCCACGAGCAGCCGGAGGTCGGCGGAGATGATGCGAGTGCCCAGATGTCATGACGAATACGTTGGCTAGGTTGATGGTTTTTGTGAAGCTACTCGAGCGGATCAAGAGGTCAAGAGGCAGTGATTGTAAGCATCTGTTTTGCTGCGGCGGTGTCGAGATGCATTCTCATGGACCTGTGAGCTGAGGCAGGGAGCCGAATCTTCACTCCAGAGCGGCAGTGAAGCCCGGCACTCGGATGCAAAAAGCCCCGACTTGCGGTGCGAAACGAAACATGAAGGAGCCGAAGCTGTTAGACTCGTCACCTGAGGACTGCGCCCAGCCAAGCCATCCAAGGCAATGTCTGAAGCAGCAAGAGGGTTCTGCCCAGCACCGACCAGTCTTGCTTGTCCCATTTTGTCCCACTCATGGCAGGTGAGAGCCCAAGCCCTCCGCCGGCTGCCGCTGAGATGCCAGGCATCAAGCACGCCCTGGTGAAGCGCCCTTCCTTCACATGTCCTTGCAGGGGAGCCAGCCGGCGATTTGCAAGCACGGCCGAGAGCAAAGCTTTGCAGCATCTCGCCAGAGAAGCCATGGCCCCAACGAGCGGAGAGACTCAGGCCAATCTGGCGCAGCAAGGGCCGCCGCAAAGGAGGCGGCAAAGGCCCACGTCCAGATACGTTCAGCTCAGTGGGCAGTCAGAGGGCTTGAATGCTGCATCGCAGGTAAGGATGCAGGACCTGCCATGTGACGTCGCCGCAGATCCGACTTGCATGGCTTTCCTGCTTACCAGGACATGCTGCCTGGCTATTGGGCTTGGGCTCGGCCATTCAGGAGCCTGCCAAAGAGCTGGCTGAAGGCTCTTCTTGCACAACATCAATGACCACACACAATGCGTCGCCCTTGCGTGTCCCGTGCAACTTCTGGGCTTCTGGGGAGGTGCCAAGGTGCCGGAGCCGGAGATGACGGCCACGGCTGCTTGGCTCATGTTTCATCAGAAAGCGCAGCCCTGTCGCCGTTGCTTGCGTCACAGGTCCTGGAGCCTCTGAGCAAAGCGCGAGAAGTTGAAAGTGCAGAAGCCGAGAGCACACGAGAAGCCGAGAGCCCTCGGGACACCGACAGCCCAGTCGCGAAGACCGTCGATCAGGAGGCATCATACATCGAAGGGAGCACGTCGACAGGAGATGGTGCTGAGGCCCACATCAGCAAAGGCGGCGTAGAGGAAACCCGGATCATCTGTGAGACCGACCCGAATGAGGTGATAGCATGGAGGGCATCCCAGCTGCAGTTGTCACACGATTCATTTTTTCAACCGGCATACACCGTCGTGACGAAGACCGGGTAGTAGAAAGATCTGGCAACGACGGCACATTGAATAGGCGTATGTGCTTAAATCAGTGTGTATATAATATACATATATATATATATGTATGTATGTATGCATGCATGCATGCATGTATGTATGTATGTATGTATGTATGCATGCATGCGTATGTATATATAAATAACTCTATATATATATATACACAAGAAGCGTGCAATCTTTCACATGTGCTATTCTGTGTATGTGTGTATGTATGTGTGCGCGTAGGCATGCATGAATGAATGAATGAATGAATGGATGGATTGCTAGATCTGGAATCTGTGAAGTCTGAGGAACTCTTCTTCAAGCTTGGAGAGGTTGATGAGAAGCCATCGTCCTCTTCAGCCGCTGTCCTGCGATGTTGGTAGATGTAATCGAAGTCACATTAGAAAATTGTTGCGCTCCCCTGTGCATTTGTAGTCGGTCGGCCTCCCTTAAAGCCGGCACCCTGTTTCCTGCCTTGTACCTGCGAAGCAAAGGCCCAGCAGGCTCCGTCGGAACACGGCACGTGGGGTGAGAAGGGTTCTCTGGCTCGCCTGTTGCGGCGCGAGGGCCTGGAGATGCCGCAACTTGGTATATATATATATAATGTTAAACACACATGTGATTTATGTATGTATGTATGTATGTATATATGTAGGTATGTATACATGCATGTATGTATGTGTAGGTACATACATATGTTTATACATGTATACATACACATGTACACGATTCCGGCTCGGCCGACCCCACCCCTCCCCGATGACTGGTGGACTCTCCTCCCCAATGCGGTGTGGTGTGGTTCGGGTGTTGAGTCTGCTGGGGGTCTTTGGCAATAGGTTTGTGATCATTACTGGTATTCATACATGCTTGTGATTCGTGTTGTCATTCCTTGTGCTATTAGCATCGTCTTCTTCTTCACCATCATCTTCTTCTTCAGCAGCAGTGCAGGATTGCAGGGGTTTATATAGACAACAAAGCATAGAAAAGTGTTGGTATCGGAAAATGGACCTCTAAGCTATTTCCGCCGAAAAGAATTCAATATCGCGATTCGCGAGGGGTGGGTGTCAATCGAGCATTACGGGAAGGGAGGCATCAGCAGCACTGCCGCCATATGCGGCCTACACAAGTAGCACGGCTTTGTGAGTGCTACGCAAACATACAGGACGATTTGGTAAATGTTTACTTCGGCTGCTATCCCCGATGACGACGACCGCAACAGCCTACAGATACGCTAGTTTACCGCTTAAGCATAACCCGACACCCTAAACGAAAAGGTAAGAACATCAAGTAAATAAGATTCTCCGAGAGCCACCCTGCAATGCGGGCCCAGTTCCCGCTAGACGGAGGCAAAACACGAGTTTCCGCCGTCAGCTTTGTGTTGTGGGGTGTGGATCTTATGTTACAGACGCTGCTCATATTGGGTAAAAAAGCACCATATCCAGGATAGCCGGGCATAAACACAGTGCCCAGATATCGAGTGCCTACAAGGGATCTTTTGAGGGATTGGTAAAGAATACTGTCAAAGGTTCCCGCATCCAAATTTTGTGCAATGTGTGTATTTGTATGTGTATATATATATATATGCGCGAGGAGTTACATGGAGGATGGCAGCAGGGGTGGCATTTATTTATAAGGCTTCTGGAGGCTATACAGAGGCAGATCAGGGTGTGTAATGCGGAGGGGGGCGAGGACTTGACTAGAACAGACATGCTCTGGTTCTGATGATTAACATGTATAGTCAAGACATTGTGACATAGTATGGAAACAGTGTACCTACGAGAGTGGGGTTGCAAGGTGCCCAAGCCTCCAACAGGAACGGAGTTGATGTATATATAATATAAATGTGTATGGCTTCCAGTACATGCAAGAAGGTCACAGGAGTGATGAATAATAATACGACTACTCATCAAGCAATGAACGCATCCAATTAGCATGGGCTGTGGAGCTATGTAGACAGAAAGGTAGATGTTAACTTGTAAGGCTCTTCGTGTCGAATTCGATAGTGGGGGCGATGCCTTCCCGATGAATGCGTAAGCAGGATTCCACATTCTAACGAGCCAAGACTCAAGGACTTCAGAGTTGCAGGTGTTGGAGCATAAGGCCCGAATTCGAAGCTTCCGATTTTTGAAGATTTAACACTTCCGGATGTTCGAAAACATGGGAACTCCAGAATTGCCGATTAACGAGGATTTAGGCAAGTCCAGACTTGCAGACTAACGCTCACTGGGCCTTTGTGATTTACTATTCGAGAATTCTGGAAGTGTTGTTGAGATGCGCAAATCTGGACATATTGAATGGTGACATCTGTGACAAGTTGAAAGTCTGGAATTCAAGGATTGTGAGTATCTGGAATTCTCAGTGTAACTGTCCCACACCGGACCCGGACAGCCTCGCCGGGAATTGGATTTCCGCCACAGAGCATAGCTCAGGCGTGGATTTGGAAGGGGGGACCACCATATATATATATATATACATACATATATATATATGTGTGTGTGTGTATTATATATNNTATTTTTATATGTATATATACATATAATTAGAGAGAGAGAGAGACATATAAATACACATATGCAAGTCAACCTATCTATCTGTCTATAGATTTGTCTACTGCCTGTCCATCTATCCATCTATGTGTGTATCCGCGTAATCCTATGTAACTTAATCTTGTCTTGTCTAGTCTAATCTAACCTAGTCTATCTTCTTGCCTATCTATCTATCCCATTCTGCCTGTATTGTGTCCGATTCTTGCTATGCACACATACATACATGCCCATACACCCACGTATATATGTATGTGTATGTATGT